CCATAACAAAGAAATCGTCGAAGCGTTTTCATCAGGCGTATATGTGATCGCGATTATCCTCTTACAGCCCCACTTTCTTCTCCTCTTTCATTTTGGGTTGGCCTACTAAAAGAGGGTGATGATTGGTAACGCCTATCACACGAAGCGGGAAGAGAAAAGGATTGTGATGGAGGCTGCATGAGAAGAGTAGAGTTCGATGACTACATATGTTGGGTCATTCCGCGCAGTTAGTGCGGTTCTCCGCGGACAAGATAAAAACCGTCAAGTACCTGACCCTGTGTGCCTTTTCTCAGTGGGCATCCAGTCAATACCGACTTTTTGTAGAGCTAGCTACCCCGCATTTGGGAATGAGAGGACCAGTGATGCAATACTCCAGCTCAAGCTGGGCGCCATGTGGCTGCCTACTCTGGATGCTGATACGATCTGTTAACCACTCAACATCTTAATAGATTGTCGGTGGGAGTGAAATAGATGATTTTGTAGAGTAGTATACAGAAGTGATGTGGGCAGAAGTACTCTACTTACCCTTAGGAGTGCACTATCATTTTATTGGTGATGGGGATGAAATCGACGTGGATTTGGACTTATGTATGGTTTGTATAATTTAGGGGTGATGTCATATTCCTCATCATCAGCTCTTTTTCAGTATCTATCTTCGTTTCGTCTCTATTTGATTCGACTTCGCTGGGATGTTTATGAGAAACCATCTCACGAGGCAACTTAGCAATATTATTATTAGCTACAAATATGACCTTCCTTCGTCTTCGAGAGATTGAGCTATTTGATCGGATGATAAGATGTTGGATGGAGTATGGTGATAGACATCCACCTCCTCCCCCCACCCAAGACATATACCTGGGCGGCATATATTAGCAGGCATGGGCCGTCTTAACCCGGGTAAGGACGTAGAGATAGCAGCCAAGGCAGCTGGGAATGGCACTTCAATGTTGATTCATCTGCGAGAGACGTAAATTTCTTTAGTTTAGGTTCTACTGAGATGTTTGGATTTCCTCCTCAACTGGTTTCTGGAAAGGCTGATTTTCTTTCTCTCACCAAATGAAAATGGTGGCGGATGAAATGTGCCTGACCTATGAGATCAAGTCAGCACATGGAAGTGATCTACATGCTATTTACAGTATCAGAGCTACCATTCCACCAAGTCTCCGAGATTAGCTTATTTAAGGATAACAAGATTTTGAACAAGGATCCGTCGATGCTTGCTAGTCGGGGGTTCTAGACTACGAGCAGTCTCTGATTATTGGTGCATGGATACAATGACATGACTCTCGAAATTATCGATGAATTAGGACGGTATATAAATCTGAGATATACTAAAAAGTCACCATTCTGCATCAAATTTGAATGGGAGTATCAAGGTACCTGTGAGGCCGAGAGTAGCCGACTTCGTACGTCATCCATCCAAAAAGCGACGGCAAGCCCATAAATGCCGACAATGCAGAACAATGATATCCCGACACAGCCTTCCCGCAAGCAAGATTCATGCACTGATGTTTCAAACTAATTTTTCTTCATCTACGTGACATCTCGCAACTGACACTTATGGGCTGAATATGAGGCCTTGAATTCGTTGGAGCGATATTGATCATCAACGCCTCCTGCCTCAAAAGTACCCACTATATGCAGACGAGAAACTGAAACGCCACCGCCAGGACGAATTCGAGGCATAACCTTTGGCTCCGATTATGGCGGTTGCCACGCTAGGCAGTTAAAATATGGGATGCATGTCGGTTGAAGCACATGTTTTGGCCGATCACTGCTGATTATGAGCCTCCTTTGGATAGACACAGGCGCAGTTTTGTGGATATTTTCAACAGCCTTCTCACGGTTATCTCGTGCTCTGCTACGCAGGTGGCTTACTTCGCCTCACTTGCGCGTCTCATCAATAATCAAGTTGCCTCTGTAAAGCATGAGCTGAAAGTCACATGCAAACATAAATTTGTCTTTTGATAAGAGCTTCGCGTTTTAGAAGACATCGGTACTGGCAAGTAGTGTGACTATCTGAATACCATCTTTCTACATTCTACTTTGGCTGAAGCATCGAAAATTGAATAGATACATGAATGATAAATTCGGAGAGGAATATCCGATGGTAGGCGAACCCACTCATATGCTTAGGAAACGCGTTCAAGGGGAACGACTGAGAATCTTTACTAAGCCTGTCGCATTTGATGACTAGTATTTATAGTCGTAGCTGAATAATCTATATAATTACGTCCATATCAAACCAGCAAACTCTCTTGTTGGTTCGTTTTCAGGTAACTTCTCAATCAAGCGGCTTGTACGATACGGAGCCAGTATCATATCGCTTTGGTATCCATCAAACAAGGTAAATGACTGTTTACTTGATCGATATGAATTCCTGTAATCATCGATCATCCTGAATCGGTTCCACAGCCACGTTTTCTTACTTGTTTGGCTAGCGAACTACCCTCTAGAAAGTACCTTGAGATCCAACAAGTGGCTCTATTATCCGCTGTTCCAGTCAGCTAAGCTGATTGGTTTGATGGCGACATATTATTAAACAACGATACATCAGCAGTCGTTCCCGAGTGCTGCGTAACTTTACATAACTAAATTTTCCGATCTCATTGGTAGCTCACACGTACCTGGCCAGACAATCTGCTGCAACATCTTCTCCATCACCGATCTGCTGTCCTTCGGGAGAGATTCCCACCAGTCTATTTCTCTGCTCACTTTCTTCATCCTCAAAAGTGTCGGTCAAGATAGCTCGTAGGGACTAGGCGTGCTACTAGCGCGATCCGGAAACTCTCCGGGTCCCAGGAAACTCTTAGAAGACAGTCTTGGAGTCTTAGGGTTGGGGCTGGAAATGCAAGCCACATATTTTCTCTCCCCCGCCCTGATGCTGATGCATTATACATCCAGCATGTCCACTCTATCGGGATGTATTCTTGGCAGCATGAATAGTTACCGGACACGAAATCATGGAAACGGGGTAAAACCAAAACGAATCGAGACAGCATCATGATCCCACGAAAAAGGGTCGCCTAGTGAAGTGCAAATGATTCGCTACCTTGGTCGATTCGTCGAGTCCAAATGTCAACCCGCCCTATCAGTGGGGAAACGCCACATGAAAGCTGATAGGCTTACCTCCACTTACCGATTTTTACGGCCCCCGAGTGTACTGCCAGCTGGCGGAACAGTCAACATGTCCGCCGGTTTCACGTTGCGATAGATACGACCGAATGGAAGAAGATGACCTTTCTGAAGAAATGCAAACAAATTGGCCAGTGAATCGGATACAAATCAACTATTGATTCTTAGAATCCCACAAATGGCCTGCCACGTAGTATTACTAATACTACGTAAGTATACGGAGTATATCGTTCTCTGTAAAAGCTGCCTAATACAATATACATGTTTATAACTCGATATTCTTTGGTTTTCGGGGCCATTTCACGCTCACACAGGGTCCCTGCTGTGATTGGCTTGAATTATGATTGACAATACCTAGGATGCCTAACTATAGCTGTAGTCCGATTTGTAAGGCTAAATCTTCCTAGCGTTATCCCTTTACCTGCCACAATCCCGCCGCTAATTAGTAAACTAACAGAACTAAGTTAGTAGTCATAAAAATGCTACAAAGGCCGATCCTTATACCCGACAGTGTCTACGTAATTACCTGGAGCGGGCATTTGTCAGTACCTTTCAATTTCTGGAATACAAGCAAAATCGCAAAATGGAATAGATAGTATGTACACCGTACACTACTTTAATCAACATAATGCTTCGTACCTGGTCTACAGCGCCACTTTCTCAGCCATTCATCTGATCCGGTCTTTTCTCCGAGGTAAATCGGCAAGAGAAACTGCACCATGACGTCTTGAGGGGGCTTACTTTTCTTGACCTTTATTTTCGGGCTCGACGGAGTTAACTACACTTCAAGAACGATCCATTCTGTACAACTCTCCGCTCCATGCGACGCCACCACATCTGCACTGCCGGGTCGGCACTCGGATAGCATGCAAGTCGCGGTTTCATGTGGATGGGGAAGAGGTGGTGGGCTTGGGCTTGGAGAATGTGGGGTTAGGGAGATATGGGACGGGATGTTCCTGGGGTACTAGTATCCTTGTCCTAGTCATAGATTAGTTACCTAGTTAACTAGTGTCATACTAGCCATAGTCATATTCGCACTCATTGCCAAGGAAGATAGAAATTGGACAGGTTAGACTACAATCCTTTCGTTTATTCATCCCCTTCTAGCAACACGAGAATCTAAGACATTTTTCCTAAAGTACAACCAAAACTGTCCAATTCATCCATGAAAATTAAGCGAGCCTGAGGAATGTCACCTTGCCAATTCACATAGCCAATCCCTCGCCTGCAGGCCCCTGGTCAATAATGAACAGCCCTATAGATATGGCGACCAAAAGGACCAATTGGAACATCTCATCCTGCACCCGTGAGCTACTTCCATCCGATCGGTCTTGTCTAAGTCTTGACCTTACTGCAAATGTCATTAATGCCCTATTTTATACCTGTAAGGCGAGGTCTAGACTCAATTGCGGTGTTTCCAGGAAAAGCCTCATCGTTGGTCACCAGCAAACCCCTCATCCGAGGTCATTCGACATGCTGAAACGAGTAAAGCGCTATCAATTGATTGAACCCTGGGACGGCCCAGAGTGCAGAGAGTGGATGTTGCTATTGCCGTGGCGCCGCGACAATAGAGGTGAGCTCTACTCTCATTTAGCCAGATCTATCCTGAACGACAAAATAGTTAATCTTCCGCAATACACAACACCCCGGAATTATTAGCCTAGGGGTATCACGCGGCACTTCAGTTCGGTTAGACGGTAAGCCATCGTTCTGCAAGCCTAAAGCACCTCAGGGATCGAGGGTCATCTCGAATCCATGCAATTGTATGCGATATTCACGTCTATATCCATGTCGCTCATACCTATACCGATAACCACATATCCAGATCCCGATCCAAAATCCAAAATTCAGAGTTTCGAGACATTTTACCAACTCGTCAACCCCCGTTCTCGATCAAAACCACCCCGCAGTTGCTTCCCAGGCTTGAGAACTTTACCCTGCAGCACGGTATACCGGATGATATTCTCACATTCTTCCGGCCGCACGCGAGCCAGCCAGATACCCTGCGCTGCGCCCTCATTGTCCTCATTGCCATTTACCCCGTCCCGCTTGTACCACTCAAAGTCGCGCCGCCGGTACACGATCACGTTCGCTGAGTACTTATGACCACCAACGTGGCTGATAAAGTAGACGCCTACGCCGCCGGGTCGCGTATCGTTCATGTCACGATACAGACCTAGTGGGCGCAAATGGCGCTCGAATTCGCGCCGCAAGAGAGGCGCGGACTGGCCGCAGCGGGCGTCGCGGGTGCGCTGGGAGCAGAGAAGGATGACGGCGGCATGTGGGCAGGGATGCGAACGAAGCGGGGTTGTGAGGGATGTGCTGACGGGGTTTGGTGGCTGCTGTTCCTGACCCTGGTCCTCCGGGTTCAATGGCTCTTTCTCAACGGGGTTTGTTGGCGACATGCCCAGGGGCGTTGTTGTGGTCAAGGACTTGTTAACAAAATGCTCGATCAAGTCCGGGACCAGCTGCGGGGTGACCTGTTCCACGACGGTGAAACTGGGGAGGAGAAGCACATCCGTGGGCTGTTTGCCCGTCTCATGCATGTGGTATTCGTCGGGAACGGGCATGTTTGATGCTGACAACTTGAGTCTCTAGCAGAGAGGCAGCCATGTTAGTGGTGGACTTCTCGATGCCGGGTGGAAGAACAAAAACAGGGGATTTCTAAAGGTAATTGTAGTAAATTGGTCTTACCCCGTTGCTTGGCTCAACTCCTCCCTTTTCGATAGCCTCCATGACACTGCCCACCTCGTCTGCGACGTCGCGCACCCAATCTGTCTTGCCGGTTGCAACTAGCAAATGTGTCGCCCAGCCCTTGACCTGTCCGTAGAGCTCATCCTCTTGATCAACGTCGAACTTGGCGGGGTATTTCACCGTACACGATGCGCAGTCGTGTAAGCATTCTTCACCATCAACTGCTGGGTCTGGCTGGTTGAACAGCTGATCCGATTCTGAGATGGACCTGAATCCTTTCTGGGCCAGCGCATTGTCTCCCACGAAGTCGGTATCGGTGTCTGTCCTTGAGGAAGCGAGGGAAACGTTGGAGGAGCCAAAGAGCGAAGAGGCGCCCCGGCGGAAGAGTTCCATTGTGATGGTAGGGAGGAGATGATTCGGAAACTGCAACTGTGGCTTTTGGAATGAGTAGTGACCAAGGGAAATTGGGCCACGATGGTTACTTTACTTTTCGTCAATTTCTGTCGCTATGACGCGTAGCTGGACTCGCAATGATCTTATCAATCATTCTGCATTTCTGCCAAGATTCGGAACTGATTCCGCCTGACTAAGCCCCCACCGGGGCCACGGGATGTGAGACTATAAAATCGTGGAGTCAGGAGTTCATCACTGAGTATATAACTTTATGTCCGGCCTGACGAGGTGGGGGAACAACAGTGGGCCATTCGGTCTTGTGGTATGTACGGGGGGAGTGGAGGCATTGTGGCAAACTCTATAGACTTGGTCTGTACTATGAGAAATCACACTCCATGTCTGCCAGAGCGGCGCCTAGAGTATGTAGATGCCCGTGGTTCCTATTCATACATATTTTCTCCTTGAGCCCCCAAGACAGTGTATTTCGTGGGAATCGAAGATCATCTGCACTAGATTACAAGAAAAAAATGTAAAGACATCATGAAAGATGCTAAGGTTGTGATCAATATGTTTGTGAGCTGATTTAGTCTAAAAGCTCTGGTGGACCTAGCAAAATGGGGTATAGGCTACAACTGATAGAACTGGAGAGATGACTTTAGTACCGAAAACAGAGGCAATAATATTTGGAGCCAATTGATTACTGTTGTGGTATCACTATCCATCTCTATTGGCAATTTGTATCTGGAAGTTGACATCTGGTCACGTGTTGAGAATTAATAGTACAATCACCACGTTGGATACCAGCAGGAAAGTAGATACGAGACAAAGAGACCACTACTCAGAATCTCATTTCCAGTTCTTATTTCTAACTCACCCTTAAAGATCACACCCAGATCTAGATCGGCGTGCTGAATGTAGATCACCGACTCTTCAGGAACCGCCGCATCACATGACTCCCCTCCCTGGATCCAAAAAAAATAAAGTAAACCAACTAGCTCGTGTACTCAACTTCGAAAAGGGGGTAAAGAGTCATGGCCGACAGCAAAGCTCCCAGGGAGCCACAGGAGCTCTACATCCTGGTAACCGGCGCAAATAGGTACGCTACAGCCAATCGACAAAACTTCCTCCCCCCTCGCGGGGCTTTGTCTAAAGAAAGGAGGCCCTCAAACTAATCACCTATTGCTCTCCGCAGCGGTCTTGGCTTTTCGATATGCTGTCGCCTCGCCGATGAATTCCTTTCCTCGCACCACTACGATGACTCCCTGACGATTATCTTTACGACCCGGAGCGCACGCAAAGCTGAAGATACCCGTCGTCGCCTGGAAGCGCACCTACAACAATCCGCGAACTCTACCTCGTCCAATGCCGCACGGGTGAAATTTGTCTCCGAGAGCGTCGATCTAAACAATCTCCTCTCTACGCGCACGCTCGCCCGCCGCCTCCTACAGACAGTCCCGAAACTCGATGCGATTATCCTCAATGCTGGAATCGGCGGTTGGCATGGAGTTAACTGGCCCGAGGCTATCTGGGGCATCATCACCGATCTTATCTACCAAGTGACATGGCCTACATTCAAGCTAGCACACACGGGAGTCCTGACGGACAGACAAACTGAGAAAGAGGAGGAGCCAGCGCTAGGAAATCTCTTCTGCGCCAACGTCTTCGGCCACTACATGCTGGCACATAACGTGGTACCCCTGCTGAAGAAGGCGCAGTCTCCTAACGGACCCGGCCGCGTCATCTGGGTATCCAGCATGGAGGGAAACATCAATTTCTTCGATATCAACGATATCCAGGGCCTGTACACCAAGGCCCCCTACGAGTCCACCAAGGCTCTAACCGATCTCTTGGCCCTGACCTCGGATCTACCCAGCACCCGCCCATGGGCCGTGGATGGCTTCCTTCGTTCCGACAACGAGACCGAAGATGAGAACCACGCGACAGCAGAACTAACACCAACCATGTATCTCTCCCACCCGGGCATTTGCGCGACCTCCATCATGCCGCTTCCGTTCGGGTTGGCCTGGTGCATGGTAGCTGCCTTCTGGCTCGCGCGCATGCTCGGCTCACCCTGGCACACAATGTCCACCTACCTTGGCGCCTGGTCTTCCGTTTTCCTCGCGCTATCCTCACAAGGCGCGCTCGATGCTGCCGAATCACCATACCGCCATTCTGGCGGTGGCCGAGTGAAATGGGGATCCTCCGCGAACCGGCTCGGCGTGGCTAGTGTGTGCAGTACCGAGATCGAGGGCTGGGGACACGGCGGTGTCGTTGGTGGACCCTTTCTTGACGCGGATCGGAATCGTCGTCGAAAGCGTGGGATGGTCGATTTGACGCGTGAGGATAAGGAGAATTTCGAGGAGCTGGGTCGCCAGTGTTGGAAGCAGATGGAAGAGCTGCGGATTAAGTGGGATGCTATTCTGGATGAAGCTGAAAAGAAAAAGGCTGCAACTACAGCTGCAGCTGCGGCTGAGACTGCTCAGTGAGACATTACGTGGGGAAATGGGGCAGATCTGGACAGTGTCAGCCTCTAATCTGACAGGGGCACAAATTAGATCACTAGGATCATCTGTAATTTACTCAAAATGGCATGTGTACAATATTATATTGTAATTAAGACCCAATTGATACCTTTCTACATAATACGGGGAATTGCTAACTAAATGGACGATACCCAATTGCTAATTCGACGACACATCCCTTCTGAAGCGTAGTAATGGTATCACTGTCTTCTACTTCAGATATCATTATAGTGGTTCAGAAGTCTAAGTCTAGAAACTAGAGAAACGGACGAACTAGACATACTTTAATCACCCCTTTTTCGAAAGGTCTTTCGAACTATCTTTCGAATTATCTTTTAAATCGTCTTTCGAATCGTCTTTCTTGATAGCACAGACGTTATTTAACTAGCGAGTACGAAGATAATTCTGAAAGTTTGTCGGAGTTTGAAACTGATGGAACCCGATTGTGGAAGATAGTAATACTATTATAACGCTAAGCTGGAGTAAGGGGTGTATCTTCGAATTGGCGATTCCCTAATATTATTGTAATTCAATTGATACCTTACTACTTAGATCTTGCGTATAACGAGACTTCCAAAGCAATTGGATTTGTATCTTCTTTTTTTAGATTCCGCGTCCCAATTATTTACATCAACAGAACCCGCCCCGCGCCCATGATATCATTAAAACAGGTAGAGCATGATTTTCCTTGTCCGCCATTTCCAAAAGAGAAAGAAAGGGACCAGCACACAAAACAAAAGACAATAGAAAGCACAAAGGGAGCGGGGACGTAGATAGATAAGAAGCAGAGCTTGAAACAACTGCAACAGTAAGATAAGGGAGAGAAGCTCCGACGCAAAAAGAAGAGACTAAAAAAAGATATTTGTCGCAAATAACCGAGAGAAATCGTGTATCTCCACCATCTAGGTTTTGGAGTGATATCGATTATCGGGGAGACACGAAAAGAAGGGGGTTGTAAAAAAGGTCTGCTAACGCAATAGCGGGAGCAGATCAGGCAGAAAACGACTCCGGATCCATGCATCAAGACAGGGGGGAAGGAAGGTATCGAAAGGTGAGACGAGGTGGAAGGGACGTGGCGACGTGAAGGAGGAGGAAAGGAGATTACATGATAATCGCAGGAACTATAAGAATTGTTAGCTTTCCAAACCCACCAGTATGAGAAGGGGTATGCTTACCATCAATGTTCTGCTTGATGCTCTTGTGAGGCAGAATGGAACCGCCGTTGACATATACCTCATCGGCAATGGTAACATCGTCACCGAGGACAGTGACGTTCTCCAGACGAGCCCAGCGGCCGACGGAGCTGTTCCATCCGACAATGGTAGACTTGATCCAGGCGTGGTCCTTGACCTTGCTGTTCTCCATCACGACGCAACGCTGGAGGCGGACACCGTCACCAATGACAACATTGGGGCCAATGACCACGTTGGGACCAATACGACAGTTGTTTCCAATCTTCGCCGAGGGGTCAACCATGACGTTGCCGCCATGCACATAAGGTTCGGAGACGGAAGCCAGCTTCTTGGAGTTGCGCTTGGCCAGGGAGGTGAGGTACAGGCAGGTACCTGTGAGGAAGTCCTTGGGTTGACCGACATCCATCCAGAAGCCCTCGAGGTCGAAGGAGTGGAGCTGGCCGTCCTTGCAGATGGCGGGGAATGTCTCCTGCTCGATGGAGGTGGGACGCAGCTCGATGCGGTTGAGGACGCTGGGGTTCATGATGTAAATACCGGCGTTGATGCGGTTGCCAACGAACTCGACGGGCTTCTCGACGAAGCGGTCAATGCGGGAGGGGTGGTTAGGCTTGTGAACGACGACACCGTACTTGGAGGGCTCGTCGACCTTGGTGACGACAATAGTACCCTCCTGACCGTGGGAGCGGTGGAACTCGGCGAGCTCCTTGAAGGGGTAGTCGCAAATGACATCGGAGTTGAGAACGAAGAAGGGAGAGTCATCCTTGCCCAGGATCTTCTCCGCCAGCTTGAGCGGACCAGCAGTGCCCAGAGGTTCGGACTCGACTGAGAACTCAATGTTCACACCATATTGCTCCTCGTACTTCTTCAGGGCGGAGACCATGACATCGGGGCGGTAGTTGACAGCCAAGACAATATCGGTGACACCAGCAGCAGCCAAGCTCTCAACCTGGTGCAGGATCATGGGGCGGTTGCCGAACTCCACCAGCGGCTTAGGGAGGGTGAGGGTCTAGACAATCAACAGTCAGTCAATGTGAGCCGAGAAAAGGAGCAAATGAAATTGTTGGGTTAACGGTTCCAGCATTGAAGCATTGGATAGCTCCATTGGGAGATGACAACGATTAGTAAAGACTTACCAAAGGACGCAGACGCGTGCCGAAACCTCCGACGAGAATGAGAGCTGCGGCGGTCAATCAGTATGGGACGGGGAAGAGGGGTGATGCACGGAGGCACGGAGGGGGAGGTTCATTTTGTTGACATACCCTTCATGGTGGATGTTTGTGGAGGATAAGATCAGAGAGAATTGGACAAGATCGAAAAGACAAGGAAGATAAGAGGGAGATCTTGGGATCTCGACGTGAAGAGATTCAGGGAGAAGATGGCATTATTTAGGGAACACCTGGCCGTTGATGGACTTATTTTTATCAGGAGGACTGGGTGGGGCACGTGAGAGGACCGTTGATTGGCGGCGAGGAGCACGTTTGCGGCCAAGGAAAAAGGGGGCGTCCTTTTGTTGAACACAATTAACCAAGTTCACCACTCTGCAACTCGACTGAATTATACTTTCAGGGTGCTGAATACCTTCAAATATTGGAATTCTCTATCTGCTTTTCCAGTTCAAGATGAATACAACTCCATTGACACCATGCTCCCTCTTCAATGTCCACTCCCTTCCCATCCTCAGTGTGGTGGAATTCGGTCTCGCATTGGGTCACACTGGACCGGGCTAGCCCAGCCCATCCCGGCCGATGCACCCAGTGTCCCTCGCCTTTGACTGGATCGGGGCCACCGAGAGGACTTCCCCGCGAACTAAGGACACCCCCGTGCTCAACTTTCTACCTCTCATCGTCAGTCATGCGATGTCGCCCCCCCTGAAGGTGGCGGACACAGCTTGTCTTTGGCTGCAAGAGTCAAAAGTCTTTGTTGATGGCTGTTTGCGGTCGGCAGGCGCGTGGAAAGCGCGAGAGGGGCCAAATCAAGGTCAGATGGAGGTGTCTCCCCATCCGTCGCACTACCACAACCCTCCTTCATCTGCCTGAGACAGTCCCCCAATTGCGGCTTTCTATCCACAGAGTCCACACGCATATTTTGCTTCTTTCCTTCCCCAGCCCCTCCCCCCTTCATTGCGTGTCCGGGGGCAGCCGCTGATGACCACGTTGTGTCTGAGACATTCTTGACGGGCCACCGCCTGCTTCATCCGTTGCACCCACAAACTGGACGATCCATTCGCGAACTCGGCGAGTCTTCTGGAGCGGCAGATCGGCGTGGTCCTGGGGGCTATTCCGTCGCAAACCGCTCTTGTAGAACCCAACCGTATCCGTCACGTCCACCGGTTGTCGATACAGCAGATCAACTTTGGTCATTCCTCCCCGCAGACTTTGTCCGTAGACCTGATCCCGGAATGAGCTGAGACCGACGGTGCGCAGCAAGATGATGTCTCGAGGGCGAAGCGTGGCCAGTGAGCGACTCAGGCGATCGGCTTCTTGAGTCTTGCAAGAGATGGATGTTGAGGCTGGTAGCCAGATGTTGACCCCGAAGCCTGTCCGGTTCTCGTCGCCAACAATCAATTCAATGATGTCAAGCTCGGTCTTCCATTGTCGTGTCACCACACGACGAGGTGGGTGGATCGCGATGATTCCCACGATCAGGTTGACGGTCATTGTCTGTGGTGCGATGGACTGCAAATAACTTGCTGTAGGGAGGTGCTGTAGATCGCGAATCGGGCCTGAGATTTGCAGCGAACGGGGTAGCTCGTGGTTATTTACTTCTGCTGTCGTCCCAGTAGCCGCTGCATCTATACAAGCGAGCGCAGGCTCGCTCTCCTGGGTGGATTCCTCATCTTGTAGCCCCGTAGTAGATATCTCCGACGTTTCATGTACGACGAATGAATGATCGTAGAACTCTGATAGGATGGAATCCTCCTTCATTGACTCGTTATCAGCTTCTACCAGCTTATGTGTTGTCAGAAAAGATGGGTCCTCTGGTCCACGATAGTATTCATGATAGCCTGTCGGATGCTCCGTGAGAGGCGGTTGGAGAACTCTCCATTTAATAGGATCTCCACTTTGCACAATTGATGTATCGTGCTCATGAATGGTGTCGGTGCTTGAAAATGGTTGAATAGGGCTGTTGAGCAGCTCATCGTTTTCCCAGTCTAGGCTACTAGGCAATGGTGCGCCCATCAAGAAGATCGTCTTGAGGGCCATGTCGCTAAGAGCCAAGCTGAATGCTTCATTTGTTCGTACTTCAAGCTTTGTTCCCAGTTTGACTGCACCTTCTTAGACCACTGTGTTGTCTCATGCTTTTAGAAGATGAGCAGTTGAGTATGAGTTTGCACTGTACGAGTCATCCGCGATGCCAGTGATGATGCAGATCCGGGTATCACGGTCATGGGTATTCGGAGTGAGCTTGTGTCTTGAGTGACCGCATCACGATCCACATAGCTTACTGCTCAGATGGTGTTGTGGAAAGTTGAAGTGGATGGAAAGAAAGCAGTGGTAACCACAGAAACTCGGCCCAGGCCCGAACCATGGGATGGCTACTGAAAAGGAAGGCACCTACGACTTCTTCTATATTCCGTGACTTGCCTCGTAGAAGCTCAATTTGTCAAACAACACCCATCAAGGTTTCCTTGAAATATCCCCAGCCAAAATTGCAAAATCATTATCCTATCAAATTTTACGATTTTACCTCCATGCTTACATACAAATCCCGTGAAACTTAAGCGGCTACCAGAATACCTTCAAACGATAGTTCCACGTGACCCTACGGTTACTCAAGCGGGCCCGAGTGGCAACCGACATTCGCCGCAGTTCCAGCGGAGTAAAAGCCATCGTCACCATCCATCCCCTCGTCTCCGCATCTTCACTGTCGGCCATGGCAGTTGCTTCAAATAAGAACTGAATTCCATTGTTCTCCCCTGGCCGTACATTCCTGAAACATCCATTCCTAGAGGAGCAGACTCTCCTCTTCTCCGCGGCCAAGCGCCGTTGTATATCGGACAACTATGGCCTTCCAGGCCTCGATTCCTCGGCCGGTTTGCTTTGACTCATTCCCTATGTTCTATCTGGTCTCCATCACTAACACTTGCTATCTGCATCTAGAATGTCGCCGCAGTGACATCGGATCTCTGGCCCTCGATGTCTAGTGTGCTCTCCGCTCCCTTCAAGCGGGCCGCCGGCTCAGCGCCGACAGCCGGCGTTCGCGATATTCGCCAACACTCCTCTTTCGCAGGGCAGAATGTGGCGGTATGTGTTCTTTCATCAAATACGATTGTGGTATCAAGATTCTGACTTGGTTAGACATTCCAGCGCGTTTCTTTACCAGAGTGCTTGGACACCGTCTCGCTGGAAGCGTTGCGAGCTGGTCTCGTGCACCGGTCTGCGCCGCGAGGACTATCGCCCCTGTTGAGTGCTGGTAAGCCATACCTTTGAGATGCTTGGCTACATTTCATATCTAACTCTCGGTGTTTTATAACAGATAACGCCTTGCGGGCCCTGTCGACCACTTCATCAGCTCGCGCCTTTACATCGTCCACGGCCCGGTCCTTCTCTACCTTGACCCCATTCCGTCTCAGCACCCTCTGCACAGCCCCGAAGATCAATGGACTCTCACGACTTCAGCATCAGAGATTCCTGTTCGGCGGGCCTTCGCAGAACATGTTGGCTCAGAAGGAGAAGACGGCAAACAACAACCCGAATAGTGCAAACGCCCAGAACACATTCTACCAGGCGCTTCTACGTGCAAACATGCCTGCGATTGTTGTGGAAAGATATCGGAGCGCGCAGTTTGCGAGCAATGCGGCTTCCGAGGCAATCTATGCGAAGGCGTTGGAACGTGTTGGTAGCGGCGAAACCGGTGGTATCGCTGGTGCGAACCAGAATCTCAACTCGGACCAGCTTCAGGCTATCGGCCAAGCTGTTGCTGCGCGCTCTCATGGTGGTCAAATCGGTATGGCGAACAAGCCCAATGGTACTGGTGCCAAGGAGGCTCCTCTCTATGTTGTGGTGGAGGAGTCCCTGGGTAACACTGTCTTCCGCTGGGTCAAGTTCCTACTCATCTTCGGTTTCTTTACGTATCTGTCCCTCGTTCTGATTACGATCCTGGTTGAAACGACTGGTGTTTTGAAGAACATTCGTGGTCAACAGAACAATGAAGCTCAGCCTGAGAAGCAGACTGTTCGTTTCACCGACGTTCATGGCTGCGACGAGGCCAAGGATGAGCTGCAAGAGCTGGTCGAATTCCTGCTGAACCCTGAACGTTTCTCGTCCCTTGGTGGCAAGCTCCCCAAGGGTGTGCTTCTGGTTGGTCCTCCCGGTACTGGTAAGACTTTGCTGGCTCGTGCTGTTGCTGGAGAAGCGGGTGTTCCCTTCTTCTACATGTCTGGTTCCGAGTTCGACGAAGTCTACGTCGGTGTTGGTGCCAAGCGTGTTCGTGACCTGTTCACCCAGGCCCGCAGCAAGTCTCCGGCAATTATCTTCATCGACGAGCTGGATGCCATAGGTGCGAAGCGAAATGAGCGTGATGCCGCATACGTCAAGCAGACTCTGAACCAGCTTCTGACCGAGCTGGATGGTTTCTCCCAGACCAGTGGTGTCATCATCATTGGTGCTACCAACTACCCGCAGTTGCTGGACAAGGCCCTGACTCGCCCTGGTCGTTTCGATCGCAAGGTTGTCGTTGGTCTTCCTGATGTGCGTGGCCGCATGGATATCTTGCGTCACCACATGAAGAACGTCCAGATCAGCACTGATGTTGATGTCGGTGTCATTGCTCGTGGTACCCCTGGCTTCTCCGGTGCTGACTTGGAGAACTTGGTCAACCAAGCTGCCATCCATGCCAGCCGCGACCGCAAGCCCAAGGTCGGCCCCCTAGATTTTGACTGGGCTAAGGATAAGATCATGATGGGTGCCGAGGCTCGCAGCCGTATCATCCAAGACAAGGATAAGCTTCTGACTGCCTACCACGAGGCTGGACACGCTCTGGTCGCTTACTTCTCTCGATCCGCTACCCCGTTGTATAAAATCACCATCGTTCCCCGCGGCATGGCCTTGGGTATCACCCACTTCCTGCCTGAGATGGACACTGTCTCTCGGAACTACACCGAGTATCTCTCCGACATCGACGTCGCCATGGGTGGCAAGGCTGCTGAGGAGATGATCTTCGGGCCGGACAATGTTACCAGTGGTATCTCAGCGGTAAGTTCATTCTCGTGTAATCTATTCAATAAAGATACTGTATACTAAACATCTTCTTCAGGACATTCAACAAGCAACCGAGACCGCCTTCACCCTGGTCACCCGCTTCGGTTACTCCAAGAAGCTCGGCAACGTCGACCTATCAACCAATTACGACCAGCTCTCCTCGGAAACAAAGCAAGAAATCGAAGGCGAAGTACGACGTCTCGTAGAGGAGGCCCGCGCTCGCGCAACCAAGATCCTCACCGAAAAGCGAAACGAGCTTGAGATCCTATCCAAGGCACTGATCGAGTACGAGACACTCACCAAGGAGGAAATGGAAAAGGTTCTCCGCGGCGAGAAGCTTGATAAGATGGCTATCTCGCCCAGCGCGCCAATTAAGCTTCCCGATGCCCTACAGGCAGCTGGATTGAAACCAACGCCGGCAGCGGACGTTCCACCCACGGCGACGGATTAAGCCACGCCTAGCGCGCGTGGAGCGCCTGTCTAGATCCTAGGTGTTGCATTTCGACTTCCCCTCTCTCTCTTTCTCTCTCAATGCATTTTTTCTAGTTGTATCACTTCCTTCTGCTGCTATTGCCCGGCTTTCTCTACTTATTATCTTTGATGTGCATTCCCGGATCGTTCGGGCGTCGATATTGAAAATCCCATGCTTCTATTTTCCTATTTCATTGACTTGACTTATTTGGTCATTCGTCCTTATCTATTTATCCTTTTCTATGATTTAACTGTATCGTCTGTACATATACTCTTGCATGTCCACTGCCGTTAATTGGAAAGCGAGTAGTCTATTAAAATCTGTGACTGCTCTATCTAGGATATCACGACCAGATAAAGAGTATGTCTGGAGTTAGCTTGAGGTCGAGGTTGTCCGAAGATTGTTTTATCTCAACCAAAAAGTAGACCTTCACTGATATCCTGAATCTTATTCATATTCATTTCATTTCATATTCACTAGTATATTTATTATGTACTCCCTACAGTACACCAATTCTTACATTACGTCCATCAATCTCATTGGCAGGTATCCCAACCCGATCATCTCCGACCTTGTTCCCCCAGGCCCACTATATTCGGGAAATGATGTCATCCGTCAACGGGCGATCACGGCCCGCGTGGTGCCTGGTTCGCGGTCTACTTTGACGCCATTGGAACCAAACATCGCGGATTTGGAGGGTGCCTGTTTTTGAGAATGACTGTGGGGGGAGGGGAAGGGTTTAGTCAGGATGACAACATTAGAGTGGATTCGTGATGTCGGGATGTTACGTTTGATTGTAGATCGTGGAGGGGTATGGTGTGCCTGGTGCCTTGCTAGCGATTCCCTGACAGAGTAGTAGTAGTTTCGACAGTGAGTAGAGTAATCAGGTATACTTGGCTGAAGTGTTCGGATTGACTTTGGAATTTTTTTCATCATTGATTGTATAAGAATCGCGCTGTTATATACAGAAAATGCACCTTGCCTCGACGCATTCAATACGTCGAGTAATACAAAGAAAGGAAACCAAAGAGGTAGAGAGCTCAGGATGAGGAGAATGAGAGGAACAAAATGAAAATGTAAACAAAGACCAGCTCTTCCCCTTGAGGTTTCGTCGCTGGAGACAAGAGAAAAAAAAAAGCACAACCATTCATCAAGGTCATGAACAAAAATAGGGATAGGCGGCTTCCGAGGCTGATATGCCTCGAGGATGGAGCCATCTAATCGAGGAATGAGGGGGGGTTCTCTAAATATGTATAGTTGAAGTGTGGGTTATGTATGGGTGTCCCATTATGTCCTCAGAGAGATCACAGCCGGGATATGCAATTCAACAGAGAGAAGGGTGTGTAAGTAGAGTGTCGAGGGTGAGTGTGGGTATTTCATGGCGTATTCTCTCTGTGGTGATAGATGCTTGAGAAAAATCACAATGTTGATGCAATCCCGGCTGTGAATAGAGCAGCAAAACTGACTGGCAGGCATGCTAGAGCAGAAAAGTCGAAAATCAAAATGTGGTATAGAGAAAATGCTGGTGATG